CATATTTACTGTAATTATTTAAACTCATCTGATTACCACTGCTATTGGATTTTGCTTTCTTCCAATTAGACTTTTCAGATTGAAAGAATAATCGAACTTGAGAATTTTTTGAAACTCTTATGCTCTCTACATTTTTTTTCTAAATTTCATGCATCCTTTGAGTAATTTAAATATTCATTTCAATTCTTCTAGCTCTCTCTATCAAAACAAAATAATCATCATTTCCTAGAGGAACAAGTGGCTATATGATTATATTCATTAATTTTGATAAGAATCTATAACATTTCTCTACTGTAATATGAACTAACTGAAAAGTATATATTGATAAGGTAGTAAATTCTGCTTCATATTTCATTAATGATCTATCTCCTTGAACTAGCCTCAAGAACCTTGCATTTGCATCTTTGTAGAAAGAGGCACAAATCAATCTCTAAACACGTGTAAATTCTTCCCATTTAATTTGAATACCATGTATCCCTCCAAACTTGTTATGATTCTAGCCCCTTCATCACCTTTCATCTCACCATCAAGTACAAATATTACTTGTGAAACCTTTTTCTTTTCCGGGCAAAACATACCATCTAATGTCTTCTCAATCTATAATATCCATTTGTTTGTCTCGATTGGTTCCTCTATTCCTTTAAATAACGGCGACCGCATATCCTAGAATAATTTTAGGTATTTATCCATCGAGATGTTACTGTTATTACTTCCTTAAGGCTGAAATTTCAAATCTTGTATTAGTTGAGTCATTGTTGTCATCATTTGAGATAATGCATCGATATTGACAGTAACACTCGGTACAACCAATTCTATATTCTCTTTGGAATCATTCAAAGACCTGAAATAAAGTAAACATTTAATTAAATTTCATAATAATTTCAAGTTAACTTTTTAAATTTAATAATCATCCTATGACTTTTACAAAATGATTCATATCCTATTTGAGCTATGATATCACTTTTTTCATGACCTGACCTAAAAACTCAAGTTAATGAGAAGAAAACAGACGATCTAACGAATATTTCAATTGTTTCAATAATTATAATTGCTCAATAAGTTAATATCGGAATGCAACTAAAGAGCCACTAAAAAGTTTGTTAGTATGAGCATATGGTAAAATAATTATTACATATTTTCATTTGAACCCCTTCTTCTATATACAAACCCTTCTCTATCAACCATTTAATCCACAACAGATTTATCTGAAATTTACAATTTAATAATTTGAATTTTTTATAACAAATTCAGTGGTAAATTATAGTTATGTATGACAGTAAAACATGTAAGTAGTAAACTAAATATTTATTATTTTTTTTCATTGGACATATATATAAATATATAATTTGAATTTAAATATTAAAATTTCTTGATTAATAAAACATTCTTTTGTGATCTTTATTTTTTTTTTATGTTTTATTCTTATAATAGTTCATTTATTACATAAACACCGTCTAAATTTTTATACCAATGAAGGAATAATTATTTTCATTTATATTATCATTTCCTTTTTCATTTAATATGCACAGATATGTTGCATCCTCAAAAGGATGTGAACTCAGACATGTAAGATCTTAGTTCAATCCCCATTCACCAGAGCTTCCATTATTTTGTAAACTATATTGGTAATTTTTCATTCTCATTAAAACACCATGTACCAACAATACATTCGAATTCATGTAATCTCAATTTTGCACCTTTAACCCTACCTATGCTATTATTCACTAACTTCATGCTTTTATAACTCTCAACAAAATGTTTTTAAATATATAAATCAAAATGCTTGAGTTTCATTGCCATGTAAAAACTACAAAAACAATATTTTATGTTAGGATAAACTGACGATTCAAAATAAGCCTCACCGAGTGAGATTTACTAAGGATCACAACAAAAATTACCACCACCATAACAACAACAATATCATCAAGCCTTTGTCCCACTATGTGGGGTCAGCAATATGAATCATTTTTCTCCATTGTGTCCTGTTACAAGTCAAATTCTCGTTTAAATCTAATAAAGAAATATCATTTCTAATATTTTATAACCAAATCTTTTTAGGTCCATCGCTACCTTTCTTCACATAAGTCAAATCTAACACCTCCTTTTCTAACCGGGTCATCCGAAGGCCGCCATTTTATGTGACAAAACCATCTAAGACAACTCTCTCAACAAAATGTTTTTGTTGAAGGAAAAATTACACTACTTGATATGACCAAGACTTCGTTCTTTCACATAAATGTTCCTTGACAGTTCTCAAGTTTTGTCTTAATTCTTCCTATCTCATCAATAACATAACTCTTTAGTTCTACTAACACCTCAGCTATCTCCATTATCTATACCAACCAAGCCAATTTTTCTTATACCCCATTGGTCTTTGGCTCTACCAAATTTTTTCATGTATTTTGCTCGCCAAATAAACTGAGATAAGCATGAGAGGGGTGTATACTACCTCTAATGTAACCTTTCATGATAGTACCCACTTCTGTTCTTCCTCTTTTGCCCCTACCTATTCCTCTTAAACAAAAAGCTCGTCTACTTACGTCTCTGCTTCTACAAGAATGATCAACTGAACTGATAAGAGGTGAAAATGGACATCTAAATTTTTCATAGATGATTGATTTGTCCTCTGACATCGGTGATAATGTGGGAAAGAGTTGTGAAAATGATTGTGTCCATCAACTTGGCCACAACATCCACAAGCACAATGAAAACCACTTGTTCTAGCGGTAAGCAAAGTGTGATTATAATCAAAAGGTGGAAATGTTCAGGTTAACAAAGTAAAAAATCAATTAAACTTGAATATTTGAGAGAATGATGAAGCCTAAAAGAAACATGGAAACCAAGTATTTTGATTGGTGCTACAGGTGTTATATTGAAGGTCATCCCATATTCCTTTTAAACTGTAGTAGTCTTGACTAAATTTGACATCTTGTTGTAAACATAATAATTCAAAGTATATACTATAGTGTAGGGTCTATAAAATCTTTATGGTGAGTGTAACAACTTGATTTGTGTCCGCTTAAGGTGGTGATGAAAATTGTATTTAGGGTTCTGATAGTTTTGATGCTAAAACTTTTAGGGCATCAAAGTATAAGTTTTGCTAAGAAGAAAAGAGGGAGGAACTCCAAATCTAAGGCTGGGGAAGCCAGAAAACTAATGTTGGTATTTTTATAAATTTTGTACCAGTGATAAATTTAACAATCCAACTCGATAAAATCCATAGATAGAACAATTAAGTCATATAATGTTGAATGGTGGCAGACCAAGCCCAAAGTTTAAGTTCTAAAAAACTTTTCAAATTTCTTTCAAACATTAATAGACAACAGAGCCACTAAGTATTGCATTCTTGGTTGCAAACTTCAACTACAAGTATTTGAGATTAGTCTTCATCTTGTTTGATTTATAGATGTTGGGATTCTTGAGGAGCTGGGCTTCTTTAATGTGGGGGGGAGGAGCCAAAAATGAACTGCAATAATTCTTCTCTTCTCAACATTACAACCTTATACACTTATTTATGGGTAAACCAATGAACAAATATAATCAATGACTATACAAGGCTACACAAAGAAGAACCCTAAAGAAAGTACAACATGATCCTAATGTATACATGATGCTGGGACAAAAATGTGCATATAGACTTTCCAATATATCCATGATCACTTGATATCAATGTACACATAATTTCAAAGCACGGACATACATGTTAATTCTCCAATATAGCCATAATTCATTGATATCAAGTGTGCCTATAACATTTCTTACTAGGTATTAATGCAAACATCATTTATACTATTGGTAATGAGTGGTGCATTGAACCAATGATTAATACAAAACATTGTCATAATTCACTAATCTAACTTATAAAGAATGATTCTGATGTTCCCAAAATCTCCCTCTCATCAACTCTTCCATTGTCATTGACATTTAGCTAAGATATGGAATACTTTAAATTACAAATGTATTTAGTAAAGTGTAATGTGATTGCTAAAACAAATGAAATTCCTCAGAGCTATATCTACTGATTTTTGTTTTTTGGAAGAAATATAAAAACCATTATAGCTGGTGGATTTGATTGAATCTAAGAGGAAATAGAACCAATCATAGCAGCCATTTTTTACTATTATCTGATTTCTAGAAGAGAAGAGTGAGAAAGTAAACCTCAATGTGCTGTTTATTGGCTATAGGAGGAAGCAAACTGCACTCACAGCAGTTTGCTCGATTCTAGCAGTAAACCAATGCCGGCAATGAACCTCCCTTCCTTGCTTTCGATTTTGAGAGAAGGATCAAACTCCCAGTTCCCGTTGCTCTCGATCTTCGAAGAGGAACCGAATCCAGCTCTTCGCCATTCTCTCCAAGAAAAACCAAACCCAGCTCTCGATTGCTAAGGGGAAGAGTGAAACTCTCTACCTTAGCTTCTCAAAATGCCTAACGAACATCCCCTCTTATCCATCTCTCTCGCTCTCTAGGAGGATTCACAAGCAATAGGAAAGAAAATGAAGGAAACAGAGCTCCCTGCCCTTCACTCTCTCTTTCATTTTCTCTACTGCGCCAGGCTTGGGATCTAAAATTACTATGCTACCTCATGATGTAGTGTTTGATGGTCGAGATGCACTGATAATATTATCCTACCCCCAAGAACTCTACAGAAACCAGGGAACGTGCAAGATGACACAAGAATGTGCAGCAAGTTGCTGTACTTCAACTACTCCCAGCTATTGAATCAGGTTTTGTTTGATTTGGGAAAGATTGAAAGGGGAAAGCTGAACCGATTTGGCTTTTTTAAATTGGATTTGAGTTGATCTAGTTTGATTGGGTTAATTTAACTCGAATTAATTTGATCTGACTTGCAACACAAGTCCAGTCGTCGCCATTTAAATTTTCTTTGATCAAATTCAGCTCGATTTAACTTGCCTCGATTTGATTCCAAAAGAATAGGCGATGACGATTATATATTTCAATTAGAAAATGAGGTCAACAAATATAACTACTTGACTAGCACATACACTAAAATTTATATCCCCATCCATTCTGATGATGAATTTAGTAAATTATATTTGTAAAACAGACAGTGACAGCCTATACTCCTTGATCAACCAAAAAGAAAACAAAGAAAAATGAAGAGTTTCTTGCTGTTACATACCTGCACTTAGTTGAATTGACTAGTACTCAAAATATCAATCTTAGAAAAACTGCAAGCTTAAATCTTTGGTTCAATTTAAGTCACTATCGATGGAAAACCACAGAACTGCCAAAAGATTATGTGCATTTACATCTGACCATAGAAAATGCAATGACTTGAAATCTTAGATTGCTTCCTCAAGCTCCTTTGATTTTAAAAACTTCTTTTTAAATCCATCAACCAGATCATTAAATTTTTCACAGCCCGTAAAAACTTCTCGTCCTTGCTGCTTCCACTGGATCAATCTCCTGAAAAGATCAAGTAAACCAACCCTGCCACTGACTTCAACTAACTGCTGAATACAGAGCTGGAGCAGCATTTCAACACATCTAAGCAAGTAGTTGCAAACCTTTCCTTTCAAATGGCAGATAAAATCAAGCCTGGTAGCTTCACAGTCAAACAACATCACTGACATCTCCTCAACAATGTCAAACAATGAAAATACAAGGCAAGCTCCATCAAATGCCCACTTTCTTCCATCACTTCCATAACAAAAAGCAATTTCATGCTCATGATAGTTACTGATCTTCATTTGGTCTTCTTCATGCTGCAGTATTTCACCGGTAGTGGCGTAGTAAAGTAGCAGTTCACATTCACTGTCACTTAAAATATCCTGGTACAATATCAATATGCCAAGAGGAATTTTATTAGCTAACTTCGTCGGCCTTGTCGAGGCCTTTTCTTCACCTTTTGAACCAGCTGGCTTGTATCTAATGAAAGGCTTGATCCATGATTCAACACATACACCATTAAATTCTATGAGCCAAGATGCTAGTGCAGCAAAACTACATTTATGTGCTGCCAGAGCAAGCTTATCATCACCATTCTTACTTATTTTGAGCTTCTTACTCCAGCTAAGTGGAACCTTATTATGGCCACCTAAAAAGGAGCATTGTTCATAGCTAGAAATTGCTCTGCTTGCTAACCTCCAAGACCTTGATAGTTCGAGTAAATGTTCGGCAAGTCGTTCACGATGGCCTTTGTCAACTGGGCACAGAACAAATGAAAGATATAAAATAAATGCCTCATTCAGATCTAATTTCCATTCATTAGAAATAACTTTTGAAATAAAAGAATCTTGCATGTCTTCATAATAGAAGATCAACACAGTTGCAAAATAGAACCAGGTAGGAAATTTCATTAGCATTGACCTGCAATACAATAGCTCAAACTGTCATTATAGAAAAAAAAGAAAAGAATCAGCCAACTAGATTGAAGATTTGCATGTACCAGGTAGAATTATCATCAATTGGATCCAAGGATGCTTCTGTACAAATAACTGATAATTTAATATGATGACCCAAATCCACAAAAGTATTACATGAAATAGGTCCATTCAACAGGCCCAGTAGTTCCTGAAAGTTACTGGGAAAATAAGCATGGGGAAACGGATACTTGAGTCCCATTTCCATTGATACGCCCCAGGCCATTGGCCTAGAAACCATATCTAATACAGCCGAAACAAGTGCAATGTTGAGTTCTAATACAGAAGTCAGACCCCTGTTTAAAAGAACTAGGGCAAGTTAATGATTGATATACATGGTACGCTTTGAGAGAAATATTATACAAAGATCATATAAATGTCTCCACTTTTGAGCTATTTGAACAGATAAATAATTATTTTCAACAACCAGAAAGCAAATGGCATCAGACATACTAGACAACAGGAATTTCAGAGCCAGGCATTTAGGACAATTGGAAAATTGGCAATTTCCACAAACTACACCAGTTGAGTTAATTTGATGATAGGAAATACTTGACTTCGCAAGTAATCTTATTGGATCTACTTGAGTTCGCAAGCAAACTAACAATAATCGGTAAAAACAGCGAGAAAATGAAGAAATTGTGGTGGAAGAACAATCAAACGATAGTCAATCTTATAGAAAACAAAGAGAAATAAGAACAAAGCAAAGATACAAGAGATCCTCAATTCAAGGGGCGGCTAGGCCGGTTCAGTGTGAACCGGCATATCATTGGACTACTAAATTTGCTGAACAGATTAAGTTAGCACCGGACTTCCAAAGAGAAGCTGTTACGAGCGGACCGGTCCCTTCTGGACCGGTCCGATGCTATTCCAGGCGGAAACAGCAAAAAGGGGCGGAACCCCCTGTGGACCCCACGGTTGCTGAAATTGATTTTGGGAGGGAGAATTTTGAATGAGGGGCTGTTTTAGGAAGTCCATTATGGTCCTTTATGATTAATTTGTATAATTAGGAGATTAGGGGGGAAAGGGAGATCATCTTGAATTTGAATGTAATTTGAGATCTAGGTTTTTCTTGCTTGGGCTCTTGGCGTTGCCGGAGATTGTCGGAGAGTTGTTCTTCCATTCGAATCGAAGAACATTGTATCTTGCTTTCGTTTTGATCATCTACTAGTGGAATATAAGTCCATTGGGTGTTTTTCTCTCAGATTTCCTACAGTTTTCTACTGTTTTCCTGCGATTTGGGCTGTTTTCCTGCAGAAAACAGCAGCTCTATTGCTGTTTTCCCCACTCGAGTCGATAGGAAATACTTGGATCTAAGTATTTCCTATCAGAAGCTTACAATAGAAACACAAAGGTCCTTAAGGACTAATGACAGTTAGCCAGTATATACGATAAAGTGTCAATATTCAAAATGAAAAGCCAAAAAACTGATAAAGCAGCTACAAAAAGCACAGCATATGTGAAAAAAGAAAGTAGACATTAAACAAGCTAGCTTGAACTAGTCTCCAAGAACTTTCTATATGTTGGAAGAGAGAAATGTTGTGTATTGTTGATTGAGAGGATTTGCCAATATATAAATATACAAGACAAGTACAAGAAGAAGAAAATAAAGAAGTGACTATTTTCACTTTAGAGATATAAAAACATAATAAAAAAATGTATCATCACTCTAGTACTTTGTAACGATAATACTTTACAATCTAGTTATTTTCCTACAATAACAATCCCTCTACAATTTGACCATACATAGCATAAGTTTCGGCTTGTTAGAAATATTGAAAAAAATCAAGAGACATGAAAGCTTTAGCAATGATACCAGTCAATTGTTCTTCACTAGAGATGTTAGGAGTAATGATCTTCTTTTACAAGACTGCATCTCTTATGAAGTGACAACCTACTTTGATATGTTTGATTCTTTTATAAAAGTAATGCTACTTATAATATCGAAAGTTGTCTCATTATCACAGTTAAAGATCATAGACTACACATTAGAAAAGTAAAATTCTTCTACTAGAGTTGTAATCATTTCGCAACCTGAATGAGCCAAAGCCCTAACATTCTTGGATCTACATATCATGCAACTAAAAAGAAAATATCTCATAACAAGAGAAATATTTCTTTACTGAAAGTTCACTGAGCCAAGAAATCCTGGAGGTTTTTGCTCGAGTATTAAAACCTAAATTGCTATAATTGAAGGTTCAAGACTTGAGCAACCAGGTAAGAATAGCATAGTCGAAAATTTAAGATCATGACGATAACAGTGCTATTTGGAGGAGAGACATTAAAGTAATGGAGTTTGTCATGGGAACTGAACATGAAGCGGATGACCCTCAAACATAAGAGATAATTGGAACCATTGAATTTGATGGTAGTACCAATGGTGGATGATTTCATCTCATTGAGATAAGAATAAGAAGCCATAACAATTTTTGAGATGACAGAAGATTCTAAGAGGTAACTTAGAATATAAAAGTTGAGTCATGAAATTTTGTTATTGCCAATATCATTACAATAAAAGAGAAGGTAAGAAACTCTAGACAAATGAACTAAACGTCAATACCAGCTACAAGAATTAAAAAAAAAAATTAAAATATAAAAATAAAATTAGATACACTTCCAACCAAAATTATCTTCAAGATCTATTTTAAGGTAGCGGCTCTGAACTGTTGTTGCATGCAAATTTCATTTCCAGCCAATTTCTTAACCTATATGTGCCAAGCCAAGCTACTAGTTAGGTAGCTAATACATTCTAGAAATAAAACATGACCTTGAACATGCGGCTGGAGTTTTTTTCCCAACCGACATGTAGGCGTCCATGCACTTGAAAAATGGTTGAAATTAATCCAACATTACTATTATAATTTTCATGAAAGACAAAATATATATTATTCATGAAACTGAAAATGGAGAACCAAATAGGGTTTGAATTCTTGAACCAAGAAAATTTGCAATTCTTGAATTCCCACTCAATAAAATCCGTTTCAAGTTGTTAAAATTGTTCCTGATTTGAAACATTGGATTTCCTTTCATAAATGATCCTCTGGTTCCAAGAAGCTTGGTTTACAGGCCATCCTCACGGGAAAACCTAGCCATTGGACAACCAACATTTGCAAGACCTTGGAACACACTATAGTTTCATGTCCTCACCACCTCCCTAAGATAAGGCAAAATAGATCCCAAGGGTAGGGAACTCCTTCCCAAATAGGATAAATATGAAAATCGATTCTCAAATAAACCCCTTCTCAAATAAGGCATGCCTATTCAGAGATATCAATCTTAATAACACCTATGAGCCAAAATAATTAAATTGCAATAGGTAAGAAAAATCCTCTTACTAATTAATTAATTGGGGAAAAGACCACAAAGGGATAAAAAATAATTTATAAATGTTTTCCACAATTAATTCTTGAACCAAGAATGATTAATTAGTACGGAGCTTTTGTCATTGCTAAAACACACATGTCATTGTTTGAGGATAAGATTTATTGCGGAAGTATTTATAACTCATTTTTTATCCCTTAGTGGTCTTTTGCCCAATTAATTGATTAGTATGGGGATTTTTCTTATCCTAATTTCATAGGGGCAATTTAGTTATTATGGCTTATAGGTGTTATTAGGACCAACTATCTATAAGTATTCATACCTTCTTTGAGAAGGGGTTTCTTTGAGAAATGGCTTTCAAATTTATCCTATTTTGGAAGGAGTTACCTACCCATTGAGTGTATTTTTCCTTATCTTAGAGAAGTGGTGAGGAGAGAAAATTATAGTGTGGTCCAAGACATTGCAAAATTTGGTTGTCTAATGGTAAAAGAATTCAAACTTCATCAGGTTTCCACTTTTAGTTTCATAAATAATATTTATCTTGTTGTTCTTGGAAATTATAATAGTAATGTTGGATTAATTTCAATCACTTTTCAAGTACATGGGCCTCTAAAGGTGGGCTAAATGTTTTAAATACCTAAAATTGGCAGTGGCAAATTTTCAATTTTACATTTTTTCATACCTTGTAAATGGTGCCACATACTCATGGCCTGCTCCATCACTTGTTACCCACAAACTACTGTGCTCGCTTGCTCATCCAAACTATACGTTATCTAACTTACATACCGTTGTTGTACTTTCTCATATGTGTGTACTCGTTCATGTGATCACTATGACTCTTAAAACAGCCTTTGCTTTATGAAACCGAACTCCTATGTCTTAACAATCTCATGGCTCGAACTTTTATGCTCTATGCTACCTCTTAGAATCTTCTCTTCTCAAAAAGTGTTATGACTTCTCATTCTTATCTCAATGAATTGAAATTGTCCACCATTGATACTACCATCGAATTCAATGGTTTCAATTATTTCTTATGGTTCCCCATTGAGAAGCATTGCTCGGCATAGGTATTCTACAATAACCTATAATTAAATGTTGATTATGATTATGTAAGAAATGAAATTAATTATGCTCTTCTACTTAACTTGCAAGTTTATTCTTCATCATTTCTTACATCTTATGATTATGATTATATTATTCAATTCTTTCCTCGTCATCATGATATTCATTGTCACAACCATGATTCTTACTACCCCATCCAACCCTGCTTCGTTCAATCACTTCACTTCCTTTTGGGTAAGTCTTGTTCAAAGAAAGATAATTTTTTTGAAGTTAGTTTACTTTACATCCAAAATACTTCCAACCAAACAGATCCTTAATAAAATAAAGCTTAAAATTAAAATTTAATTAAAATAAAATTGAATATATCAAGCTGGCTATTTCGGTTCGTCAGCAGAGCAGGTGGATGTGATTAATAGTTTTTCATATAACAGGTCGATACGCACAATCCATGTCTATTTTGTAATTGTTTATTACCAGTTATTTCTCGACGTATTATCAGACGTCGTCATCATCCATCCGAAATTCCTTCGGTGGCACAGAAAGACAAGCTCTTGAAATATATAGCCTCCACCAACCATTCTGCAGCCCTTAATGCCGGCGAACGTGGAAGCGAAGCTCGTGGAACCTGCAGGTTTAAGTTAAATCAGCCCGCTCCCCAATCCACAATGCGGTACGCCGTCGCCATCTCCATTGTCATCCTCTTCCTTATCACCTAGATCACCTACATTGTATATTTATGCCGCTATTACTCCGCCGCTCCCGCTCCCCCTCCGCTCCAGCCCGAACACAACGTCCAGACTGGGCTCACTAGCGGAACCATTTGTATGTGAGGGGGGGCAATTGCCCCCCCTAAAAAAAAAAAAATTAATTAGAGGTAGGGCTGTTTTGTAAATTTGCCCCCCCCCCCCTCAAA